AAGCGCTAAGGACAATGTCCAAGCCTACCCTCAAACCAATTCCCTACGTCGTTTTCCTCAGTTTGATAGTCATGGGATTTTGGTTATTTCTCGGAGATGTGGCTGTCACCGCAAATTTTCAGGATTTTTTGATCGTTCTCACCCTGGGATTTATCGCAAATAATGCTTGGATTGCTACGGGCCTAATCGGAGATTGCAAAAGAGGGTTGATTAAAAATAACCTGGGCCTTTGCCGCGGTCAGTCGGTAGAAACCGAACCCAACGGCTCGCCTAGAGACTCTCTGACAGAGTGGATCAACAGGGGAATTCAAGAAGCTGCGAGCCTACCGGTCAATGGGGCGCCGCTCACGTTTTATGACCTGTGGTCAGCGCCTCTGTACCCGGGTGGATCCAGAACGGAGATAGGCAGGGAAAGCCGAGCCAATGATCGATCGATCAGGCTCGAGATGATCACGACCAACGTCACACAATCGCGTCCCTATCGTTTACCGTTAGAGAACGATGAGGCTAGGCTATTTTTTGATCCTAAGGAATGGGAAACTTACTTTCCTAAGTCTGTTATGGACTATTTAGGCAAGGTTTCGACGCCTTACGAACCAAAGTCGATCGAGGATCCGATAAGCCCTCCGGGCGCAGAACTGGTGCTCGAGTTACCAACCTCTCGCTTGCCCCTTGTGGTCGCTGCTCGTCTTAGCCTCAGCTATCCATTACTGCTTTCAACCGTGCCGCTGTACGCAATAGACTATGAAAACCTTGAAATAGAGGATCGTAAGCTTCGAAGATGCCGATTCTCTGACGGAGGAATTTCGTCAAATTTTCCTGTTCATTTCTTTGATTCTGCGTTACCAAGATGGCCAACGTTCGGGCTGTGGTTGCAGAGAAGAAGTCCTTACCACAAAGATATCCCGGTCTATCTGCCGAAGCTTCAGCGCACAGGCAGAGGCGATAGTTGGCAGCGGTTTGAGGAGGCCAGCGAAGCGGAGGACGAAGGCGAAATAGAAAGAGCGGGACTTCCCACCAGGTCAAAGTCTGAAGGCCCGCGCTTTGGGACCCTCTTCTCGTTTCTAGGTACTTGTTTAAACACGGCTAAGGACTGGAACCACCTAACCGCCATTCGATTGCCTCATGTACGACGGCGGGTCGCCCGTATTGGGTTAGAAGAGGGCGAAGGACAACTCAATCTTGCGATGTCCTCAAATCAAATCCTTCGTATGGCGAGCCAATATGGCGTGACGGCGGGGAAATTGCTGTGTGATGAGTATGCCCCTAAAGGCGACATAATTGCGCCAACACAGGCTTGGAAGGAGCACTTATGGATTCGGCTTCAAGTCCTTTTGGCGGGCTCGCAAGATCTGTTGACGGGGTTTCACTATGCCTGCACTTCGAGAGGCCACAGCCAAGAGACCGCGGCTATGCTGAGAGCGGCAGTTGACAAATCCCCCATCGAAGGCGAGCACGAAGATCATACAATCACCCAAGAGCAGTACGTTCATTTGAGCAAACTCGTTGAGCAATTGGTCATGCTAGAAAAGACCTTAAACGAACGAGTTGCTTACCAGCAACTATCTAAGCCGCAGCCAGATTTAAGGCTCAGACCGCCTCTTTGATGTCCAGTCTCCATTTGCGCTTTATTGAACGGTTACCGCCATCAAAAACGGCAAATGACGACCTCCCTCAGGTCGTCTATGCCGCAACAGTGTGGATAATTCAGCTGACATATTCATCTGCAAACCATGGCCGATCGTCATCCAGCGAAGTCATCCTGAGTTGTTAGCCATTGCGGTCCGCCGTACCGTGGTCTAAGCTCGTTCGTCCTGAACGGTTGGCATGGTTGGCCAGCGAGATACTTGTCTATCGAGATCTGGTAGTTTCCGGCCTTAAGATCACCGCTACCTGCTAGCCGTCTCGT